ATCATGGTTTTGATCCAATTTGGCTTAAGGATATGTAGAGAGAAAAGAGATGAAAGGGTTTTTAGAGAGAGAGAGATATACAAAAATGATCTGAAATATCAGATTCACGAACTGATATAACATGGTCCGCTCGAGCGTGGAAAGCCCCGCTCGAGTGTCGAATACACCTTCCCAGTACTTTAGCAGACAGGTCAAACTTCTAGAACTAAACATTCTCTGCTCAAGCGCATAAACAATCGCTTGAGCGAACAAGCAACTTCTAATGCATTTTGCATTTTTGCTTCAGGGGCGCTACCCCTCAACCCTGCCAGGGCGCTGCCCTAGGACCTACCAAGGGACGTTGCCCTCTGGACCTTCGCGAGCTGACCGGGCAGCTCGATCCCCGCCAGGATGCTACCCTTCGACCCGCCAAGAGGCGCTGCCCTCTGGATCCCTGCAAGCTGACCGGGCAGCTCGATCCCCGACATATTCAGTGAAGTGACAAAACTGGGATCGCTACAGAGGGCAAACGGAGAGAACTATTCAAACATTAGAAAACATGCTTCGTATGTGTGCCCTTGAATTTCAGGCCAGTTAGGAAACTTACTTTCCGTTGGCTGAGTTTGCTTATAACAATAGTTTTCATTCAAAAATCGGCATAGCGCCTTATGCAGCATTATACGAAAGAAAATGTAGGTCTCCAGTTTGCTGGATTGAGGTTGGAGATAGGGCATTGTATGGGTCTGAGCTTGTGCAAGAAACAACTGATAAGATAAAAATCATTCAACAAAGGCCCAAAACTGCTCAAAGCCAACAGAAAAGTTATGCTGATCAGAGAAAGAGAGATTTGAAATATGAAGTGGAAGATCTTGTGTTCATTTGAGTGACGCCGATGAAAGGGCAAACACGTTTTGGTAGAAAAGAGAAGTTGACTCCACGTTACATCTAGCCATTCCAGATTTTAGAAAGACTTGGCCCTTTGCTTATCGTATTGCCTTACCACCAGGAATGGAGCAAATGCACAACGTTTTTCATGTATCGATGCTTCACATGTACCTTAGAGATCCCTTTCATGTCATAGACCAGCAAAGAATAGCACCTGATAATGATATGATGTATGAAGAAAAGCCAATACAGATCATTGATCAACAAGTCAAGCAATTGAGAAACAAGTCCATTTCTGTGGTGAAAATAAAGTGGAAAGAACACTATGGGAAAAAAGCGACGTGGGGACAAAAAAGATGAAATGAGGCAATGCTATCCATAATTGTTTTTGAATGGAGGTTACTCAAATTTGGAGAACCAAACTCTTTAAGGAAGGGACATTGTAACGACCCCGACGTCTGTGTCATTTTTATATAATATTTTATTGGGTGTACTTTGCATGATTATGTGTTTATTTGATGATTATCTATTGTCGATGAATTATCTATTTAAATGTCAACATAGAATACTAAATTGAAAGCCCAAATGGACTCAGAAACCGAAATTGGTTAACTCAATAAACTAGTTGGAATTTTTAAAATCATATGGTAAGTTTAATTAAAATTTGATTCGAATCAAAATAATTAGAATAAATGAATTATAATTGTCTAAACTCAAGCCTAATTGATTATTCTTAATCATGTGTGATTAGTGAAGCCTTAATCACCCTATATATATATATATTTATTAAGCATGCTTAGACTTCACTCTCACAACAACTTTGAGCTGAAATTTAGAGATAGAGAGGGTGAACTCAATATTGTAAAGAAAGAGAGAATGAGATTTCAAGGGAGTTTAAGAGGAATATAGGAGATTTAGCTTAAATAAGGTCTAAGTCAAGCTCTAGGTATGATTCTCATCTATAATTCATGAAGTTAATACATGTTAGAAGATGAACTCACTCTTTTGTAGGACCATTTGCATGTAATTGAAAGAATTAAGCAATAATCAACAAAAGTTTAGTGGATTCAAGTGAATTGTGTACATGCATGCATAATCCTTCATCTTTTGAACTTGATTTTGTCAAATTCATGCATGCATGAGCCTCACTCAAGTTATTTCTCAAAGTTCTTCATGTTTTTGCACTCAACATTCCATTTATACATGTTTTAGAAAGAAAAGAGTTGAATTTGATACATACATGTTTCAAGCAAGATATTTGAGCTTTGTTTTGAACAATTAAAGAGTATTTGAGATCATGGTTCCATAATTTCCAACAATTCATGTTTCGTAATGAGTTTCTAAGCTTTTGAGACCAACCATGCAAGCTTTGAACTTAAATGGCATGTTTTTAAACTTCAAACACAAATCTGGAAAACCTAGAATTCGTTTAGTTTGCTCAAGCGAAGGATCCGTCGCTCGAGCGAAAAACGAAGGCATCCAGTACTTTTTCAGACATTTGGCTGTTGGCTCAAACGAAACCACTTTTGTTCAACACTTGGCTCGAGCGATTGTTGAGCGATCGTCGAACGTAAAAATTGAGCATCCAGTACTTTTACAGCCTTTGTAGATGGCTCGAACGACCAAGTGTGTACTTGAGCGAGCCCTTTGCATTTTGTTGGATTGCTCGAGCAACCAAGTGTGCACTCAAGCAAATACCTTGTTTTCAGCAAATTTTGCCTAACATTTTCAACTACATAATCGCATCCTCATGCCCATTTAGGGATTCTTAAGCCTCATTTAAGCATCCATAATCATGGAACGAGCTAGAAAACACATATAAAGGAAATGAATTAAGATATGCTATTTGTTTTGAAAGTGTGCTTTGATGTGTACTTGTGCTATGTATTGTGTAGGTGGTCAACCGAGGTCTACCGTCCGTACCCGCCCACTGTGAGTAGTACTCTTGTAAAGATATGTTATTAAAGTGTTTTGGTTCACCGTAAGTTCATTATTTTGAAATGTTATTTTGTCGCAATGAATGATTGTCTCTTTCAAAATGTAATTGTGGCATCCTTAGTGTAGCCCTCGCCTAGGAGCACCAATACCACGGCCTACGGACCTCTCTCGAGGAAAATAATACCGCGGCCTACGGCCCTCGCCCGAGGGAAATAATACTGCGGCCTACGGCCCTTGCCCGGGAGAAGCAATACCATGGCCCATTGTGACAGAGATCTCTGATGTAGACCCAAGGGGTCCCTATATATGTTAGACCTATTATGGTTCCATCGTGCACTATTGGATGTACCACATATAAATATGATTTGTGAACTTCGATATGACAAGTAATCGTTTATGATATGATTCGAACTCATGTGATATGATTTTGTATAATGATAGACATCATTCATTTAATCTCTTTATACTTGTATTACTCACTGGGTTTTAGCTCACCCCTTTTTCCCTATATGTATGTAGGTGAGCATATGGAGCGTCAACCATAGAGTAACCTCGGGAGTCCACCATTTGTCAGCCAATTTGGAGTGCCTCCATGATGGGGCAAGCTTGGTCTCATTCGGAGCCAAGTGTGTTTACCTTGTGAACCATGGAACTTTGTTTTTGTTTCTTTTGTTCTTCGTTTAGTTTATCTTTGGTTTGGAATACGAATGGTTGGACAAGTTGTGTTAAGATGCTATGATGTATTTTTGTAACCATATTTATGAAAGGGTTGGAGTTTTGAATTTGTATAATTCTTCATGTGTGCACCGCTCGATAGACATGTTATATTTCTACATTGCTTCCGTAGTGCCTCTTATTGTTATTATTCAATAGATTTATTTGAGAGGTCGGAGGTAATATGGGATCACTGACCGGTCATGGCCTAGACCTTTAGTGGCGGGTTTGGGTCGTGACAATTTGGAACTATAGTACCAAAATAGTTTATTAAATTTAGAAGTTAACCTTTGAATTTTTTATTTTTTTCAGAAATCAATTGTCATGACCCGAACCCTCCCCTAAAGGTTAGGATCATAACCGGCTGGTAATCATTAGATTACCTACGGCCTCAGATAGAAAACAAATTTTAAAAAATCATATGGGGCCAAAAGCAGAAGCAAAAAGATAATATTTGTCCAATGAACTTGTACATAAATGGAATGAATAAAAACATTACTTATATTAATAACTCACACCAAACATACCCACATCAAAGACATTCTATGTTTAGGTCCATGCAACACCATATTTATACAAAACCATACCTTATATACAGATAAGGTCAAACATGACCATCAAAAGAAGACCAAAAGGGTCAAAATAAAAGTTCTAAAACTAAGGCCTCGTTCGTGAGGCATGTCATGGTTGACTCTACAAACTTGACATTCTTTCTTGGGTTCGTTACAGTTAGGGTTGGGTATCCTGCTGCTCACTCACATACATATATACAAAGAGTGAGCGAAAGCCCAGTGAATAATATCATAGTAAAGAGGTTATACGAATGAGATTCATATTAAGTACATCGAACCTGTAATTTTCATATACAAATGGCCTTAAGCCCATTCTGTGTTTTTCTTGTACCTGTCAAACAGCCTCGGGCCCATTGCGTCAAACATATCAGATGACCTCAGGCCCACTGCATAACTTTGTTAGACTCATCAAATGGCCTCGGGCCGAATTCAAACACTTCAACGTATCAAACGTCCTTGGGCCCATTATTTCCATATTTGTATCTATGTACATTTCATATTCATGATCATAATCACTTTTCATTCAAACGGCCTTTGGCCCATTACATTCATATTCAAACGGCCTTTGGCCCATTAAAACATAATCACTTTTCATTCAAACAGCCTTTGGCCCATCACGATATTCAAGCAACCTTTGGCTCATCAAAATGTTCAAGCAGCCTTTGGCCCATCAAGATATTCAAACGGCCTTTGGCCCATTAAAATAGTCAAACGGCCTTTGGCCCATCAAAATATTCATATTCAAACGACCTTTAGCCTATTACGATATTCAAATGGCCTCTGGCCCATTAAAATATTCAAACGGATAGAATGCTCATTCATAATTCAAATTCACAAGTCCATAAAACTTACACATGAGTAGCATTTGGAAAATAATATATATGAAAATATATTTACTAAAATATTACTCACAATGTTCCGATGCTCGATTCATCCTTGCACTTGACCCTACATAATTCGTAATACACATAGAAATCGGGTCACAATACAATTCATTCCATTCTTTAATTCGTTTAATTCTCTTAGGCTCTTTCCAACTCTATAGTTCATTTATAATGCTCAGTACATGCCTAAGAGTGCTTAGAAGTGAAAGAGAATGGAAATCGAAATATGAACCAGCTTTTCAAAATTTTCTGAAACAGGGTACTCTGCTCGAGTGCAACTTTTGCCGCTCGAGCGACCTATAAAACTCTGAAAAACTTCTGGAAACTTGATTTTTACGCTCGAGCGGACAAGTCGAATTCTGGAAATTTCTTGAATTTTGTTTAAAGTTTAAACACCCATTTAAAATTCCAAATTTCATGCATGACATGTTTTAATGTACGAAAATACTCCTAAAAACAAGTATATAAGCTCATTTCTAACTCTTAGCTCAAATCTCTATGAATTTAATGATTTTAATACTTTTCTTCCTTTCTTACAAATCATAAAATCAAGCTACAAGCTCTTAGAAAAAATATTTGCAAGTGTGAAATTCAAATTCAAATCAAGCCAATTCTTGATTGTCAAATTCTAAATCATAAATAATTTCTTGATTTATCCAAATTAATTTTCTTCATATCGAACACAATTTCAAATTCATAAATTCTAAAATATGAATTAAAATTTCAAAATATAATCTCAAAACTTGGGTTCGTAAATGACTTGTCTAAAAACACACAAACTCTTAATTAATCACAAAGAATATGATCAATTTTTAAATCATTTACATGAAAATTCCTTTTATTTAAAATTAAACTCGTTTGTTCATAAACTTATAATTTTCCAAGGCTTAGTTTTTATTTCATCAAAACATGAAATTAATTCTAAGAAATCTATGATGCATGTACAATTAGAGTATTAAGACTTGTAGGATTTGTCCATGCATGTAGAAATATAACTCAAATTCATGCAAGACATACAAAATCTAACCAAAAATAATTGATTTCTAAGTTTATTTCCATAATCATGAACCTAGCTAAATTTTCTCATTCAAACCCATTTTCTTTCAAGAACCATGAAATTGATTCTATAACTCACTTAATTCAAGATGTGTAGAGGATTTTTCTACAAAGTTAAGACTTAGAATGCTTATCTCAAGCTTGAATTTCATAATCAGAGATGATTTCCCTTAGCTCCTTCATGTCTTTTTCAATTCCATGTAAGTTTTGAGCTTCATTCTCTCCCTACAGTGGGGTTCTCTGTCTCTCTCTCTCTCTCAACTCTTCCAACAGAAAAGCAAAAGAAAATGAGCCTTGCTTCTTGACTTATCAACACACACACACACACACACACACACGCCTCTCTTGTTGCCACCACATTGCACACGTGTACACTTAATCAAGCCTCCAACACAACACTTACATGTACACACATACACAGATTTTCTCTGCACACCCACACCCAAATACACCCTCAATACTAGATTGTTTCATAATTCAATTTATGTTTAGGATTAATTTAATTAAGCAACACTTAATTTTAACAAATCTTGATTAACACATAATTAAATTAATCATAACTAATAACAAATCTCACATAATTTAATCAGTCTAATTTTGACTTCAATTATAACCCAATTAATTATATTTCAATTTACCATTCTGAATCAGAATTTTAATCAAACTGCCAAAAAGGTCCAAATGTTAAATTAAACTTATTTCCATCCACAATTTTGGTTTCTTAAATCATTAAGGCTTTCAATTTCATATTAAACTTCAAAATCTTTGTCAATAAATTACGTATTCAATTGAACACCTCATAAATAAATTTAATTCGTAATACAATTCTCAATTCTCATAACTTAATTAACTCCAATTCGGACCCAATTAATCAAATCTCAATGTTACTAAACTGAATCGAATATTTATTAAACTTCCATATGGCCCAATACTTGAAATTAAATTGATTCCACTCATCAATTTCACATCTTCAAGTCATTTAGGCTCCAAAATTTTAATTCCAAAATAAATTCTTAATCAAATCATATATGAATTAGATTGAATAATTCTCATGAATTCCCAAATTAATCAAAATAAAAACTAATTAAAATCCAAATCTCTTTAATTAATTAAATGTAAAATGTTACACATGGTGGGGTCGTCACATCAATTGTCGAATTAAGCAACTTTAATCGAAAGTAAATTTCCGAATTAGATAACTAATTTTGGCAAACTAGTGTTGAATGCCCAAAAGCACAGAACTTGAAGGAAAATACGAGGCTTTTATGACAATGGAGTGCACAGAGATCTCAAAATGGTAAATGTAATAACCAAATGGAAAATAGGAGATACCTCACCTTTAACAATGTACTAGAGGGTCTTCAATGGAGTTGTCAATGGAGGGTCTTCAATGGAATGAAGGCCTTCAATGGAGGACTTTGGTCTGTACTTCGACTGTGGTCTTCAAGTTGTTTGGAATCATAATAATGGACTGTGCGAGCCTTAGCAAAACTGGAGTGTAGAAGGAGGGTTGAGGTGGTGTGTATACGATGATATGATTTAAAGGGTATATTTGAAACATTTAGTGTATGGATTGAGAAGAATATTTAATAATCAAATTAATAGGTGTGTGCACTGAGATAAGTAGGTGTGTGGAAATAGAATTTTCCTAAACCTTCTTCAAAAATGCATTTTCTAATTATCTTTGTTTGATTTCTTCAATGATTGATGGTTGAGCTGAGATTGCAGCCAAAGTCTCTCCAGTTTCATGTAGAACCAATTCTAATTTCATCTTTTATAGGTCTTGTAGTATGTCTCCTTACTTTGTGAGTAAGCATGCTAAACTTTCCATTGATTTTCAACTAAGAGCATCTGATATTGTATTTGCTTTGCCAGGATGATACTGAATTTGTAAGTCATAATCTTTCATCAATTATAACCACCTTCTTTGCCTCATATTGAGCTTTTTTGTGTGAACAAATATTTCAAGTTCGTGTGGTCTGTAAACACTTCGCATGTGACTCTATACAAATAATAACGCCATATCCTTAGTGCAAAGACAATAGCTGCCAATTCTAAATCACGTGTAGAGTAGTTCTTTTCATGTGGTTTCAATTGGCATGAAGCATAAGCAATGACTCTATTGTTTTGCATTAAAACACAACCAATCCTTTATGTGATGCATCACTATAAATGACAAATCCCTTTATACCTAATGATAGTACATGGTGCTATGATCAACCTAGTCTTTAGCTCTTGGGTGAGTGGTACTGCTATCTTAGAGAAGTCTTTAACAAACCTCCTATAATAACTTGCCAATCTTAGGAAGCTCCAGACTTCTGCTACATTTGTTGGTCTTGGCCAATTCACAATTGCTTCAATCTTCAGAGGGTCAACTGAAACGCCTTATTGGTTGATAACATGCCCCAAAAATGTCACACTAGTCAACCAAAACTCACACTTCTTTAACTTTGCATATATATATATATATATTTTGTCTCTAAGAGTTTGAATAATCATTCTCAAATGTTGCTCATGGTCCTCCTCACTTTTGGAGTAGATTAAAATATCATCAATGATTACCACCACAAACTCATCTAAATAAGACTTGAAAATTCTATTCATCAAGTCCACAAATGCTACTAGCGTATTGGTAACTCCAAAAGGCATAAAAAAAAATTATAATGGCCATATCTTGTTTTGAACGTTGTTTTCTTCACATCCTCTGCCTTGACTTTAAGTTGATGATAGCCTAATCTGAGATCAATCTTTGAGAAAACCTATACTCCCTATAACTGATCAAAAAAATTATCTATTCTAGGTAACAACTACTTGTTTTTTATGGTCATTTTATTCAACTCCATGTAATCAATACATAAATAAAGTGTTCCATCTTTCTTTTTAACAAATAGAATTAGTGTACCCCACAATGATGGGGTCAAATGAAACCCTTGTCTAGCAATACCACATGTTGATGCAGCATTAAGAAAACTTACATAATATTTATATTTTTCTTTAGTTACAATTTTATCATCAAGAAGAGTTACAGATAATCTTTCAAAATCCTCCCAAACACTAGACGTGCTTCTGGATGATAATGATGCTGTTGCATGAGGGTTAGGAATAATAGGGGTGTACACGGATCGGATTAGTCCGATTTTAGAGTAAACTAGGAATCGAACTGTAGGAATCAGTTCCAAAAAAATTAGACTGTTAAATTGTGGAACTGAACCAAAACCGGAACATAGAAACCTATTTGGTTCAGTTCGGTTTTACGATTCCATAATTTTGTAGAACAATAAATAGGATATATATATATATATATTCATGTTAGTAAATAAATTAACAATAATTAATTTGGTTAATTTGGTTAGAGTTTTCTAGGTAACAACTACTTGTTTTTTATGGTCATTTTATTCAACTCCATGTAATCAATACATAAATAAAGTGTTCCATCTTTCTTTTTAACAAATAGAATTAGTGTACCCCACAATGATGGGGTCAAATGAAACCCTTGTCTAGCAATACCACATGTTGATGCAGCATTAAGAAAACTTACATAATATTTATATTTTTCTTTAGTTACAATTTTATCATCAAGAAGAGTTACAGATAATCTTTCAAAATCCTCCCAAACACTAGACGTGCTTCTGGATGATAATGATGTTGTTGCATGAGGGTTAGGAATAATAGGGGTGTACACGGATCGGATTAGTCCGATTTTAGAGTAAACTAGGAATCGAACTGTAGGAATCGGTTCCAAAAAAATTAGAACTGTTAAATTGTGGAACTGAACCAAAACCGGAACATAGAAACCTATTTGGTTTAGTTCGGTTTTACGATTCCATAATTTTGTAGAACAATAAATAGGATATATATATATATATATATATATTCATGTTAGTAAATAAATTAACAATAATTAATTTGGTTAATTTGGTTAGAGTTTAACAATTTCACAATGTGTTCAAATCTTATAAGAGAATTTTTATATTTTAATTTTTACATATAAAAATATAAAAAAATAATATACAAATATGCTACTGTCCACTTCAGTTCGGAACCATGGAACTGAAGCTAATAAAAATTAGACCAAACTAGCGGTTTAGACTGCATTGGATCGGTTTATTGGTTCCATCGATTTTTTTGTACCCCTCTAAAGAATAATAGGAGAATCAACTAATTCATGTTGTGTATATTCATTAATATTGACAAAATAATTACAATCCATATTAAATATTAATACAAGTAAAGTAATTAATTAAAATAATGACTAACTAATAAATATCAATTAAAACAGGTAATATACATTAACTAACAATTAATGTAAAAAAAAGAGTAACTAATAAATAGGGATAATTACATTTTACCCCCTGTGGTTTCATGTGTTTTCATATTACCTCCCTAATGTTGATAAATGTACCCATAAACGCCCTATGGTTTTGACTGAAGGCATCAAAATTGGAAGGTTAAATGACCAATTTTCCCTTCCACTTGCTTATATAACCATCAAGCCACCAAACCCACTTTTTCCAACCAAAAAAATTCTGGGACCACTTCCATTTTTGAAGATGTCATCCTTCCAAGGTTCCCACTATAGTGGACAAAGTTTAGCTTGTACATGCTACTGTGGCCAAAAATCTCCAGTAAGAATAGCTTGGACAAATACAAATATAGAAAGAAGATTTATAGGATGTGCAAATTATGGGGTAATCACTTTCAATATTTAGTAATTAATTAATTTATTTATTTATTTGTTATGTTATATAATATTGAAATAAAAATCTAAACTTATTTATTAAAATTTTCAAATTCATGCCACTTGTGAATATTTTGAGTAGATTGACCCACCATTGTACCGTCGCTTGCGTGATCTACTACCAAGACTTATGCAATGAGTAAATCATATGAAGTTAGAAGTTGAAAAAGCTCAAAAAAAGAAAAGGTTGTATCGAAGAATGTTGCTAGGAAGCTGGATACTGTTTTTATGCTATATTGCATGTACTCTAAAATAAAAGCAAAAAAAAAAAAAAAAAGTGTTATGTAGCTTGATATGAGGAAGGAAGATATCTAATATTGAAGACTATTTTCAAATATAAATGAAATATATTTTTGAAGTATTACAAAACCTGTTCCATTCCAACACCTGAAGCATGTTCATTAAGCATCAACATTTCATTCACAAAACCTGCTCCCTAATACCAACATTTCAACATTTGAATTACAAAACCTTTTTAATGTTTACCAACATTCTAACATTTCAATTACAAAAACTACTTAATGTTCATTAAGCATCAACACTTGATTGAACCATTAGAACAGGCATTTGCAAATATTGTTCTACCAACCCTACTAAGCCTTACAAATATCAACAACAACAACATTTTAGTTACAAAACCATTAGAACATGCCTTATAAAAATGACAAAAAACAACTTTTCAATCATCAGATTGGCCACCTAAACCTAATCCCTTAAACCTTTGCTCTGTCCTTTGCATTCATCCTAAGTGCTACAAATCCCTTTCCAGATTGAGGCACATGTCTAGCTGACGCAAAACTAGTAACAACTCTAGCTGATGCACTTCCACCACTTGCACTTGCTCCACAAGGCATTGTTGAGTGTGTTTGAGTAGTGGTAGCTCGTTGGCATGAAGATGGGTGAGTACTGGTAGCTTGTTAGGATGAAACATGGTGAGTGACAGTTGGTTGGGATGAAGATGTGTGTGTTGCAACTTGTTGAGATGAAGCATTTGAGAATTGCAATAAGAATACAAATTGAAATGCACAAAATGAAATTACTGAAATTGAAATGAATTTACTTTGTAAACAAATAGTGCATTACAACAAATTGAAATTTACCTTGATTGGTTGACTTGTATATTTTCTAGAACTGGTGGTTGGTCCACCCATTTTCTTGAACATTTGGAATTTTTTATGTACTGGACCTTTGCATAATCTTCTATTGTGTCCAAAACCCATACACTTTGCACATTGCACTGTTTTGTTCTTCCTTAACACCTTATGTAGATTCTTGGGCTCATTAGCAACTTTCTTCCTCTCTTTTCTGGGTCTCCCTGCTGGTTTTCTATAGTAAGAAGGGGCTATAACATCATATCCAATCTCCATCTAGTCATGTTCCCTGGGACAAGATTTATCATGAAAGAATATGTCATCAAGTATGTCTCCTTGCTAAAGTAATTATGCACATAAGCTTTAGGTTTCTTCCTATTAAGGTATATACAACTTATGGCATGTTTACAAGGTATACGTGTTAGGTCTCAATCCCTACACTTACATGTTTTTGCCCTCAAATCCATTACATGAGTTGTATAATAACAATCCACCTCAAACAATCCACCTCAAACTTTAAGTCACCTGCAAAGCTAATAAAGCATTTCCTAGCATCCACTTTCTTTGACTCTAGTTTCTAGTGCATAGTTGGACAAATAGAGCCACCATATTTTCCATTCCATTTTTCTTGACTTGTATTCTGTTCATCAGTTTCCTCCTAATCTACTCCACCATTGAGATGATTGGTTTATCCCTTGCTAGAAAAATGTACTTGTTGAAAGACTTAGTCGGATTATTCACTTGAATATCACACTAGGATCTTGTGCTGAAGTAAGATCTGGCCCACGTTTTAGGATTTTCTTGCATCAACCACTCATTTGGCTTGTTTTCTTTGTCCAATTCCCCTAACTTCTTCATGTGATAATCAACCTCCCTGTTTGTCCTAGCCTTTGTAGCTTTCCACATCAATTCCTTTAGCTTTTTCCTCCTGAACTTCTGTTTCAAGTTGGTGTAGAAGTGGCTCAAGCAATACCTATGCTCAACTTTAGGCAAAACCTGTGTAACAGTGTGCACTAATCCTTTTTGTTTGTCTAAAATGAATGTCTAACCAATGTCAGTGCCATCTCCTATGTCCTCTATTAATTGGGTCAAAAACCATATCCATGAATCCTTACATTCAACCTCTACTGCAGCAATGACAATGGAAAACATGTTGTCATTCCCATCAAGACCAATGGCTTGGCCTCCATATATGCTCTTCAAAAAACAACTATCTAACCCAAGAACAAGCTTGCAACCTTGGAGAAAACCTTGCTTCTGTGTATCTAGTTTGACATACAACCTCTTCAAAATAGGCCTAAGTTGTCTGTTAGGCCTTTCTACTTGATCAACATCTTCTTCAACTATAGGCTTGTCCAATTTGATCACTAAATAGCTATTTGGATTATAATGTTTGACTGTCTCACATAGAAGTGTAAAATTAGCCCGCGGTCTGTGGCAGCCTGAAGCCTGTCCACGGCCTGAGGCGGGCCCAACCCGTTTAGGCCCACGTCCAAGCCTAGCCCGAGGCCTTGGGCCTGGGCCTAGGCCATCATTTTGAAGCCTGGGCCCGGCCTAAGGCCCGTTCAATGCCCACTCAAAAGCCCGACCAGCCTGACCCGCGCCAAGGCCCAGTGTTATTTTTAATGGAAAATAATAAATTTTTTGTGGAAAAAATAAAAAAAATAAAAAATATTGTTCAGGCCCGCCAAAGCCCGAGCCCAGGCCCAGGCCTAGGGGCTCTACCCAAGGCCCTACCCACTGGCCTACCCAAAGCCCGAATACCCCTGGGCCTGGGTGTAACGCCCCAATTTCCTATGCCCAACTGATAACACAACCATCATGTCTCCTTAAAGGAAAACATAAATAATTCTCCACACTTGCATTACATGATACAATTAATTCTTCAATGCGATTATACGTTTAATCCAAAACCAAATAAATAAACAAATAGATACCCCCAAGGGTTTACAAGTTTCCAAGGCCTAGGCCCGGTTACACAGAACGGTTATTCAAACCCACACAAATACAGCCCTTGGCTTGCAAAACAGAGTCACGCAAAATGAGAGCATTGTACTCCCAACACACATACTTCCACGCCCTTAGTTGGGTGGAATCACCACATCTTTTCCTGCACAAAAATCCCGTAGGGTGAGCATAAAACCTAGTAGGAAATTCTTAACAAATTATATACATTTAATACAAGTTTCAAGAGATGAAATGCACATGCCATGCTATGCCCTTTTTGAAGATAAATCACATTTTTATCTTTTAAAAACCATCATGCTCAATGATGTCATGCAATTTCAATTGTTCAAAACTTAACAATTTATTTCAAGGGCGGTAAATACGACTCTGGTAATCCCTAGGTCGGTGTCTGCAAGTAGACTATACAAGTACTACCAAATTGTCATTTTTACCGGTATTAACCGGAAGGCTCGACACCTATCTGCGCGGGTTTTCGGTCTTTCATCCCGGAGTCTCAAGCCAACTTATTTAATATCATCTACACCCCCTATCAAGACTTACCAACATATTTACCCCAAAACCATTTCATGAAAACTTGTTTCTCAACATTCTTTTCTCATTGCCAGTTTTCAAATCAACTTTCAAAGTTTAATGTAATCAAATGAATTGATATGCCAATTTCACAAGATGAATATAAATACTTTTATTCCAATTCATCATCCAAGGAACAACACAATTCCATCTTCACAAGTATCCTCAACAATTAGTCATTTCAAGACTATTTCAACGTTTTGAACAATAATTTCCAAAATGAACAATAATTCTCATATTCTATGAAATTCATCATTTACATAAATATAAATAAGAAATTTTCCAAACATCCATTTATTTTGTCTGAAACCATCAATAGGCACAAGTTGATGGCTTGATGATTTCGAACACAATTTGGACAATAAAATAAATTCTAGTGAGTTTTTCATTAAGTTTGATATTCTTTGACTATGAAATTTCACAAAGTAAAATTAGTGGCTAAAACTTAGTGAAATTTATGTGAAATTAGTAATTTAACTACACATAGTGAAATTTCACTAAATTAAGTCAATGAAATTTTACTAACTTTAGCAAAATTTTACTCATTGAAAATTTCATTTCATGCTATGCCCTTTTTGAAGATAAATCACATTTTTATCTTTTAAAAACCATCATGCTCAATGATGTCATGCAATTTCAATTGTTCAAAACTTAACAATTTATTTCAAGGGCGGTAAATACGACTCTGGTAATCCCTAGGTCGGTGTCTGCAAGTAGACTATACAAGTACTACCAAATTGTCATTTTTACCGGTATTAACCGGAAGGCTCGACACCTATCTGCGCGGGTTTTCGGTCTTTCATCCCGGAGTCTCAAGCCAACTTATTCAATATCATCTACACCCCCTATCAAGACTTACCAACGTATTTACCCCAAAACCATTTCATGAAAACTTGTTTCTCAACATTCTTTTCTCATTGCTAGTTTTCAAATCAACTTTCAAAGTTTAATGTAAGCAAATGAATTGATATGCCAATTTCACAAGATGAATATAAATACTTTTATTCCAATTCATCATCCAAGGAACAACACAATTCCATCTTCACAAGTATCCTCAACAATTAGTCATTTCAAGACTATTTCAACGTTTTGAACAATAATTTCCAAAATGAACAATAATTCTCATATTCTATGAAATTCATCATTTACATAAATATAAATAAGAAATTTTCCAAACATCCATTTATTTTGACACACAAAATAAATATAACAATATTATTCATGGATTTTCAATCTCTTTTTAAAATCCTCAATTTCTAGGTTTTCTCACCAAAACTATAAAACCCAAATCTTTTGAAAGAAAACATTCCAAAATCATCTTTTCTTCAATTAATGAAGATCAAGACCCATAAGATCATTTTAAAAGAACAAGAGACAAACCCACTTTCAAAATCATTCAACTTCTTGAATCAACAATCAATTTTCAAAAGCTATCAAAGGATGATTTCGAAAATCATCTAGATCGTGCAAAAATATAAATATAACTCAAAGAAAATTCCTATCTCAAGTTTGAAGAAGAATAAATATGAAACCCCAAAATCAACGATGCTTAAACTCGATCTTCACCGCACACAATGAAGCCTTCGAGATGATAACCCACTTTGATAAAGAAGTAATAGCAAAACTCAAATGGATCTTGAGAAATCAAGGTTTTTGATCTAATTTGTGTAGAGAACTGTAGAGAGAAGGGAGATGAGATGTTTTTAGAGAGAGAGAGATATATAAAAATGATCTAAAATATCATATTCACAAAGCCCCGCTCAAGCGTCAAATACACCTTCCCAGTACTTTAGCAGACAGGTCAAACTCCTGGAACCAAACATTCTCCGCTCGAGCGCATAAACGGCCGCTCGAGCGGACAAGAAACTTCGAATGCATTTTGCATTTTTGCTTCGGGGGCGCTGCCTCTCGACCCCGCCAGGGCGCTGCCCTCGGACCTGCCAAGGGGCGCTGTCCCCTGGACCCCCGCGAGCTGACCGAGCAGCTCTATCCTTGACATAGTCAGCGAAGTGGCAAAACATGAAAGATACGTTACAACCTGATACAAACATGAGACATTACCTGTTCCAAACACACCGTTACAAACCCAATAACCAAAATAAGGGGAATGTGGGAAACTAGGATACGTAACACCGTTCAAAACCATACTAGTTTGAGCCTGGAACACCACAAAGAGACGGGTCAAAACCGGGATCGCTATATTGGACTTGGCCTGGGCCTAGTTTTTTGGCCCGTGGGCCGGGCCGGCCCGATTTTTGGCAGGAGCCTACAAGGCCCAACATGGGCCGAGCCGGGCCAAAATTACACCCTTAGTCTCACAGTAATCCCAAAGTTTAGCATACTGCTTCCTCAAATCCACTTCAATTGTTTCCTTTGCTTTTCTTTTTGCTTTACACACTTGACTCTTACTTACATCAACCATTAGTTCTCTATGAATGTCCTTTTGCATGGCTAAGATATCTATATTAGGAGAATTCTTCAATCTTTCAAGGTATTTTTGTGATAAATACCTTAAGGTAACTAGATGGTTGTCATAAGTCCTACCACATGAATGAACTGGTTGTAAGCTTTTGACCTGAAATGTGCTTTCGTTTTGCATTAGGGATGCATGAATTCTAAAACCACACTCTTGTTTACACATTGCAGTAATCCTTTTATTTTCATTTCTAACCCACTTCAAATCATATCTCTGGTGCACTTGCCATTCCTTCAATGCATTCCTAAAAACTTGTGCATTCTTAAATTTCATCCCCACTTTTAGTTTAGGTTTTACCATATCCACATCCTCATTAAATTCTGCAAACCTATCATCGAATTTCTCTTCATCTGATGATCCATACAAAGTATGCATCTCAAAATATTGATCTGAACACCATTCATTAGAACGTGAAGCATTTGGTTCATTTTCTACATTTGATTCAACCCCTAAGTTTGTCTCAACATCCATATTTGTTTCTACCCCCACATCTTTATCAACATAAGCAAATATATCTTCATCTTCACTCCCCTCTAGCCCATCATTCATCCACTTTGGATCTGTGCTATCACCACAATCAAAGTCATTCATTTCCTTATCACCCCCTCTTTTTCTTCTATTTCTGTCCAATTTCCCCATCATCTTCTTCCATTTCAGGCCCATTTATCCCCTATGCATCCAATTCTATTTGTGCTTTTATTTGTGAAATTTGTGGCCCTTTTATGTCTTCTCTATTTGGACTTAAGACCTGAAGTGCCTGATGAACTTTCTTCACATATAAAGCAACCACATTCAAACCCATATAATGGAATAACATATCAATTGTATCCCTATCTGAATTCATCTCCCTAAGACCAATGTCTGGTATTTCCCCAGGAACTTTGTAATACAGTTGGCTAGTAAAGGGATAACCTAGGCTCAAGTGCAACTTCTAAAAATCAAAAAACACAACTTTATCTGGATCAAAGTACTGAAAGTAATTAACTTTTCCTTCCTTATACACTATATTTGGAGGGTTAGTAAAGTAACCTCCATGATGTAACTCAACACTAAAATCTGTTGCCATCACCTCACCCTAATTAATACATGACACAAAAGACAAAAATAATACATAAATAAATCAATGCCTGAACATTACAAAACACAAAAGAAAAAAAAGAAAAAAAGAAAAAAAAGAATACATAAACAAATAAAAACCTAACAATAAACAGATATATTGTCTCCCAATACACAATAAACAGTTAGGGGACCACTATCAACACCGCCTCCATACACAAAAATCATAAAAACCCAAATATTTTATATCCTAGTCATGCATCAAAATCAACAAAACCCCAAATTTGTAGCCATTTTTGCATAAAAAATAAAAAAATCCCCAATTTATTATTCCAGATATATCTATCTTCATATACTTAAGTAAAAAAAAGTTGATAAAACACTTATACCCCATGACTTTGTCGACACACACAATACAAACTCTACCAAAAAAGCTAACAATAAGACAACAACCTTAACAAAAAGCTAACAAAAAGCCAACAAACATACATCGTAAAGAAATCCCTACCAATAAAGCCCCCTCACTTTTTTTTAATTTTTTTATTATTTTTTATATCCGCAAACATCAAACATCAAACAAGTCATTTTCCAAACAAATTATACAATAAATTAAAAAAATCGTAACCAAATCAACAAATAGTCACAAAAAAATCAAACATTCAATAAAATTAGGGTTCGTCGATTATTACCTGGAGTAAAATTTCCAAAAGCAGATTCTTTATAGTCTCAATCGACTGTTACTGATTCGATTTGCATATCCTTTGAAACCCTAACCCATGTGTGTGTGTGTGTGTCTCTCTCTCTCTCTCTCTCTATATATATATATATATCTATCTTACTTTGAAAATCATAATCAAGCAACCGAAGGGACTGTGACATGTAAGCAATATAAATATCTAAGGGTATTCTAGTCTTTTCAATAATTTTGTTACGTCCCGTCAGTTTTTCACTACAGTCAAAACTACAGTGTGCTTATGAGTACATTTATCAACGTCAGGGAGGTAATGTGAAAGCGCTTCAAATCACAGGGGGTAAAATGTAATTATCCCTAGTAAATATTAATTCAAAGAATTAATGTTATCAAATGACAAATGCGATACAAAAATTAATTTCTTCTTGTACAATTGCAATTGCCACTTAGGAATAAGACTTGAAAGTTAATTGAGAGAATGAGAGATTTGTTTGCGAAGGAAAATGAAATGGCAAGGGGTGTATTTATAGTAAAAAGTTGGGGTTAAAATATATAAAAAATGAATTTTGTTAGTTTGAATTTATTTTGACTGTTTGGCACTGGTCAAATGACCGTTTGATTCATTTTTTAAAAATTTTGACTGTTCGGGAAGTGGGAAATTTTTAAATGTTGAGGACGAGGCTTGGGGTTGAGCCAACCCGGCAGATAGGGTAGAGGAGTCAAAATTGGGGCCAATCGGACCAAAAAAATGTAAGGTCCTAGAAGGGAAGTTCGAGCTGGGCTTGAGCTTGGTCCAGCTGGGTCTGGTTCGGGTTGACGGGTCATTTTTACACCCTTAATTCTACCCAACAAGTATAATAGGAAGTTTTTGTTTTAAAATGGCAATCAAACACCCCAAAATAAAGAGAAAAATATAACTTTTATGTAAATTAATTTACATGAAAAATATCTTTAGGTGTAAAGTATTTTATTTCGAAACAATCGGAATTTAAGAAACTTTTTTTTTTGAAGAAATCATTGTATACATCTAAGATTGTGTAAAATACTGTTAAAATTGTCAAAATCATTCAAACTATACCAAATCATATCGAACCGTGCAATTTTAAAGCCTAGCAAGACGGAGTGGGTTGAAGATCATCGCAGGCTATATCTGTGTGGGTGGTAGTTTTAAAATGACAACAGGCGGTCAAGCGACCCACCTGCCTATATATTAATGCATTTCAACTAGATATATTTTAATAATGCATTTCAACTAGATATATTTTCATGGCAATAATGATACATTCCTCTAAAATTTAAGCTTCCCCTTTTGGGAAGTGGGTTATAATCCACTTCTCAGATTATAACCCACTTCATCTCTAAAAGAAAAAAATTATTTATAAATAGTTTTTAATCAAAAAATTAATTATAACCATCTTTCCAAAATAATCCTAGTAAGGTGAAAAGTCAAAAAAAAAAAAAAATAAATAAATAAATAAACACACACACAAGACCAAAATAATACACCAGATGGACCCCATATACACGTTAGAGCTGACAAATTAAAACATTTCCGTTTAATAAACACTAGTGGGTGGCACACACTATGTGTGTGCAATTTAAATAAGTAGGAATAAAAAAAAATAATAATGAAATTAATATTATAATGTGTACTTAACTTAAGTGGTATGAGTCATCGTACTTAAAGCTTCAGGATACCAGAAATTGTGTTCACTTTATAATAGTATAGAATAGATAGATAGATGAACTCACACACACCCAATCACTTCTCATTTGAGCCTAGTGCTCCCTCTCATATCAGATCACGCCTATCGCCTCCCCCTTCCTCACTCGCTGAGTCGCTGCCGAACTCACACACACCCAATCACTTCTCATTTGAGCCTAGTGCTCCCTCTCATATCAGATCACGCCTATCGCCTCCCCCTTCCTCACTCGCTGAGTCGCTGCCGGCCCACATCCGCGATCCCGATCGCCGCCTCTCGCCTCGCCGATTCGCACCGCCGCTCGCTGCTGGTACACTTTCTCTCTCTCTTAAATCTTTGGGTATTGTATAGTTTTTTATGGGACTTTGTATAGATTGCAAACCTCCTACTTTTATTTGATTCAATCATTTTATGGGTATCTTTCAACTCCTTTTTTCAACCTATCTTTTTTATATTTCATCTTTTTTTTTTTTTTTTTTGTTTTTTTTTGTTTTTTTTTTTTGGGTGCTAGTTTTGTTTGTTCAATGTCATAAACTGATGGTTATTGCTGGTTTCTGATTCTTCATATATATATTTTTCTTATTTACTGTCTGTCTTTGTTCATTCCTAATTTATGTTTTTTTTTTTTAGACCTGTTTGTTTTGCTAGTTTAGTATTTGTTGCTTTATTGGATTGTTATTACATAATTTGTTTGGATCGTTGGATTTCTAGTTTGCTGGTTTGTCAATGTTGAATGTTAGATGAATGGACAGCTATTTATTTTTGACCATTTTAGCTAATTTATAATCAAAATTTTTTTTTTTTTGAAAAATATTTGATTCAAATTTTTTAATTTGAATTAGTTTTTTTTTATTTTATTTATAATCTGCCTGAACCGCCAAGTCAAAACTGCCATTATTTGCTAACCACACCACCAGTTTGTGATGGAAAAATGTTGGTTTCCAATGACAAATTTGCCAATCCACCACCCGTCAAGTAGTTTTTCTTTTAGCCTCAAACTGCATCGAATCGCACTGCGCACACCTCTATGTATATCATCATATCTCAAGCTCAAATGAAATTGAGATAAAGGTTTGTGGTTGGATGTGGTTATTCCCAGTTGAAATCATATGAATTATTCTCTACGAAGCTATCTCACTTGTTTAGCGCATTTCAGGAAATATTTCATCACATTTAGGATAACACGATAGCTTTACACCCTTGCATTGATCTACCGTTGTTCCTGAGGCACCCGGCATAATGTGTGGGCTTAATATAGAGCTATTTAGTTTTGAGTAAGCTCAACAAAGTACGCCACTTTAAACTACAATGCTCTCTGGTATGAAAAGTGCAAAATTGTAACCCATTTATTGATCCCAAACATTATCAATGTTAAAGAAAAGTTCGAATTCCAATTCTTAATCTCTAACCCAGCCCATATTACCTAAAACACAGCCCACCTTTAACCCAAGCCCAACACTTTGCCATCAAACCCTGGATCCTAACTCTATATCCTACCCAACAACCTGACCCAAAAACTTGAGCCACGAACACATAACCAAGCAAACCCAGCCACAAAATTCCTAGCCCCAATCCGATTTCGCCCACTTACCATTATAGCAGTCCATAATTCTCATTAACCCATCACATAAACACAGGTCCTTTAAACCCAACTCTTACACTTAATCTAGCTACTACCTACACCTAAACCTGCTATCTAGCTCCAGCAAAAATAAAAAAAATCTCTTACAAATTTGCTCCTTCATCTTCATGATGACCCTATGTTACCTGGAACGTGGATTGGTCCGGTAAGTGAAACGGGAACGGGAATGTGGTACGTCACATGCACTAAAATGTGGTACGATAGGGGTAGATTTGTATATATTACACTTAAGAATTTAAGGTACTTTTAAAGTAATTTTCTTTTGATTATTAAGCATCCAATAAAATGTATTTCTTTTTCTTTTTTCATTTTTGATGTTTTTGTTTTGTCAAAACTTAACTCACCTTGGATTTTAGTTCATTATATTTGATTTTTTTCCCTTCTAAGGTAACATTCAAGGAATATATTGGAAAATTTTTTTGGAATCGTTTCGAATCACTAAATTTATCGATTTAGAATAAAAGTGTACCATATTTCGGAACGTGCGTACCAATACATAATTTGCTATGGTATTAGCGTTTTCTGGTACCATAGTGATAGAGTTGTATTCAAAGTTTGATATCTTTTCTCAAGGCCAACTCTAAGCCGAAGCTATAAGTAAACAATGGTTTGGTATGACCAAAAGACAAAGTAGATGCGTCAAATGCAAGCAATTTTGAATAAATTGTTGGTCCATGTTTTGGGAGATGTTGCGGGAATTTCTCAAATGGGATGTAAAACTCCAATTGACGTAGGATGCCTTAAGAAAGAAAGAGAAGAAAAAAGGGAAGAAGTGGGCCATAACCCTAACACAAACGGCCACAACCTAATACTTAGTATTTCATTAAATCAAAGCTAAATAGGGAAATGCTATGGTGTGGGGTGCATACCATATGCACCCTACCACAAAAATTCATAACATCAACCACAAAATGCGAAACCTCGCCACAAATTGGCTTAACAAAATGTCCAAAATTTTGTGATTGATGTTGCAAAAAATTTGTGGCTTGGTTACAACATTTTTTATTACGCCAATTTGTGGCAAGGTTACGTATTTTGTGGTTGATATTATGAAATTTTGTGATAAAATAACATATTTTTGTCGTAGGGTGCACATGGCGTGCACCTCTTCCCAGCTAAATAATACAATTTAAACCCTAATACTTATAAGTCAAGAAACCTAAGCAAACTAGGAAACTGAATCCTAATAGAATAGGAAAACAAATATTATTAAAATCCTAACCAAACTATAACTCTAATTAAAAATAAACTAGTTAAATAAATTAGGCAATAAATATTAAAGACAACATTATAAAAAATCCATAGTGCACACGTGCAAGAAAATTTCATGCAGGAAGCGGTTCTGCCAAAAAAGGGCTGCTACTAAAAAACAAAAAAGCTTGTACGTTTGGATGCAACAAAAGTGTTGGATCTTATTGACGCCCCCACCTGATTATTTCATCACAAGAAGAAAGATAGATTTTAGTAGTGTTGATAAATTTCTTCATGCATTCAATCTCACTTTAGTGGATCCTGTCAACCCCTTGGACACTAGAAGTAGATGGTGTGGGAAGAAAATAAAGCAAATTGCATATTCGAAGTATTTGATTGTCTAGCATGGACGAGTTCAATACTTAAACGGGAACTCGAGGTCGAGTTCTTTTTCTTAGCCTGGGAGAGTGATGCGCTATGATGCACGGACACATGAAACGGCACGGACACATGATACGACACGGACATGCGGACATGCAAATTTTCAAAAAATGAAGGACACGACACTCTGGGGACACGTTTAATATATATAATTTTATTTATTTATTATATATCTAAAATTTTTTAAAAAAATCATCGGTTCCTATAAAATTACAATAATAATAAAATTAATAAACACATTACCTAAATTTTTTTTAATAAAAATTGATTTTTTTCAAATAAAAATAATTTGTTGTATAAATTTTAATAAAAACATGGATATAAATAATAAAACAAAAGAAAATAAAGGAAGGAAAAGAGACACATCGAGGGAAAAAATAAAAGGAGAGCAGAAAAAAAAGGAAAGGGAGACAGAAAAGGGAGGAGGGAGACATAAGAGACAGAAAATGGAGGTGAAAGATAGAATAAACGAAATCAGAAGAGAAGAGAAAAAGAAGACAGAAGAACAGAGAAAAAGATAAAGAGGAGAAGAAGAACAGAGAAGACCAAGTCGAAACAGGTTAGGGTTTGTTCTCTCTTTCCTCGATCTGTCTCTCTCTTTCCTCGATCTATCTCCCTCAAGCTCCTCTCGATCTGTCTCTGGCTCTTCTCTCTTTCTCCTCTCCAATAGGTCTAGGGTTTCTTCGATCCACCTGCGTGTCTGAAACTTGTCATCGCGTGTCCACTGCATGTCCGACAGGAAGAATTCCAAAAAAAAAGGGGACACATAAGGGAGAGCGTCGGACATGGGTCCACAGTGTGTCCGACGCGTGTCCGACACTCGTACGCAGGCCTCAGGGATGTGTCTGTGCTTCATAGGTGATGTGGAATGTGTGTGCACCGTGGATATTTAATAATTCTATCTTTAATATTTATTGTCAACTTTATTTCAGTATTTTATTTTTAATTATTGTTTAATTAGAGTTTTAGTTTGGTTTGGATTTTAATAATACTTGTTTTCCTATTCTATTAGGATTTAGTTTCCTAGTTTGTTTAGGTTTCTTGACTTATAAACAATAGAGTTTACATCGTATTATTTAGCTTTGATTGAATGAAATACTGAGTATTAGATTGTGGCCCTTTTCTTCCTCTTCCTCCTCTTTCTTTTTTAAGGTGTTCTACATCAACATGTCTTTGATGTCCTCTAATTGTCCATTCGAAACTTGTGTAGCATTGATGCTTTTGAATTAATGGACATGTTTTTGAATATAAAATTTTTAATATGGGTACTTGCTTATTCTAACATGACCCATACATTCTGTACAAGGTACTGAAACGTTGTTTCAATCAAATTTCAGTGCCATTTGATCAAGCAGGAAACCTTGATACACATTATCATTAGGATTGTTATTTTTGTTGATTATTAATAATACACTGAATTAATAATAATTTTTATATACTCTATTGGCCTCTTTATTCTCAGATATGTGAGTATGAATGAGAAAAACACTACTTCCGTGCTCAGGCGCATTTTAGTGAATTGTGCGGCCCAGGTTTGTTTTCTGGCAGCAATGTTCCTGACATGACCCTTTTTAGGCCTTAAACATTTTTTATTCTTTGATAACACACTTATTTTATGCTTCACCAATATGCTTGAAGATGGAAAGGTGAGCGAGAGCTTAAGTAGTCCAGGATTTCTTTTCCTTTTCCTCTGATTTGGATGCATGGTTGCTGTTGGGATATAGAAAGAATGCTAAACTTGTAGTGCACACTAGGGGTACTCACGGACCCGGATGACCCACCAAGACCAACAAACCCGATCCAGCCCACTCACTTTTAGGTGGTTCTAACAATATGAGCAAACGGATGTGGTTGGAGATTTTCAAAATCCACTCATGTTCACAGATGGCGGATGGGAGGTCACCAGATCTGCCCACATCCCCCCCTCCCCCCCCCCCCAAAAAAAAAAAAAAAAAAAAAAAAAAGAAGAAGAACAAAGGAAAACGATGTTGTGCTTTTATTCTTTGGATGTTAAGAAAAAGCCCTTTGATTTAGTAATAATATTAGCTATTTGTGAAATATGAAAATTGAACCTTTATATTTAAAGTAAAAATTGAAGAATAAATAATTTTGGACTCAAACAAGGTCCAAAATAGTAAAAAAAATTATTCTAAAATAGTTCCAAAAAAGGCCTAAAACAGTAGAGTCCAAACACCACATTGATCCGCTAATCTGTACGGCCTGCTCAATCTGCATCCGCTAACTAAGCGGACAGATGCGGATTGATTTTTCTTAATCCACCTAATTTCGGACGGATGGTGGATGGGAGGCCACCCACCCAACCCGATTTGGGAGCACCCCTAATAGGTGCATGTGTTATGGGTGTGGAACAAATGCTAAACTTGACCCATTAGTGGTATATTCACTCACTACAGATATAAAAAGTAACACGAGAACATCTAAACAAAGTTATAAATTTGGCTTTGGATTGACTATCTATAATTTTTTTGTTTAACGCATGGAAAGATTTAATATTTAACAGTGTTGATGATGTTATCTCTCTTTTAAGTTCATTAGAGTGACTTGAGTATTCGAAGTTTTTTAACAGTCATAAGCTATTAATTTTCAGACTCATTTTATATAAGATGATTTACCAATGGAATCAGAAAGGATTTGAGCACTTGAGTTGAGCTATTGAATCATAATGAATTTCATCCAATAGTAATTTTTTTTTTCTTCTTATTTCTGTATTTTACTCATTGTAGATTGCTTATGTTTTACCATTAGACATAATTAAGTGGAATACAGGAAGAAACATAGAACCTGGGAGAGAATGTACCGTGTAAGCTCTTAGGACACTCTCTTTGTTGGAATAGAGACATCATACTATGATAAATGAATGCCTGACTGTATGTATGGCATTGAAAGGATAGTGGAGAAGAGAATTTGGAATAGAATTATCGAAAATGAAGTTACTTTTTGACCAGGGTGATTTTAAGTTATTATTATTATTATTATTATTATTATTATTATTTTTACTTGGCTTGTCTGTGCTTTTACTCCTCACCAAAGATATTTACCTGGAGTTGTTGTTAAAGAACTGCTTAGTACGGTAGTACCTCATTATTGTAATGATAGTTGTATCTCTGCAGGCAAAAGAATATGGGAGATGTGTAGCAGAAAAGGTTCCACAAGTTGAGCAGGACATGTGTTTGAAAGAATTCCTCGCATTAAGGAATTGCATGCAGAACACGGTATCATACACTAACGGATGGCATGATAGAGTGCCAAGGAAAAATAATGTTTTGCTATTCTATTTTATGCATGCATTAATTTATATGTACTTGAATTAATACATTTTTTTCTTTCTTTTCGCTTTATAGCTCAGAAGAAAGTTTTAAGTTTGTGGTCTTTGTCGGTAAGGTTTATATTGATACAGCAAGCACCATCAGTGGATCTCAGAGATTATAGTAGGTGGAGCACACAAAAAAAAAAGGTTTGCACATATCAGTTGAAGAAGAATCTACCATTATTTATTGGGAACGAGATCCTTTTTAACTCTCACATATTTGCTGCTTTTGACTGATGCCCTTTTTCTTTTTCTGGTCAAATTCTTTTCTTTTTTCAGCGTGATTGTTGCTTTATAAGCTTCCTTGGGACTTGTATGCTATAATGGTTCTTTTACCCTGCCAATTCCTGTTTCAAGTTTGAAAGGAAAGGAACTACGAAACATGTTTCGTAAAGCATCAAGTTCCCAGTTTAGTACTGGTTTTAGTGGATCTGGTGCTCTGTCACATGTTTATATTCAATATCCACCTTTAAGATGTAGCATTCCTGGAGCAAGAGGTTTATTTTATGATGATGGAAATAAATTACTAGTCTCACCAACATCTGATCAGGTACATGGTAAATAAGAAAATAATAATGTTAAGTGACTTTTGGTGTCCAATGTCTATTTTTGCAGTAGACGATACATTTTTATTTTTATTTTTAAAGTGATATATTTAGTTTTCTGTATTCCTATTTGAACAACATTGCATTCTTTTGTTTTCTAGGTCTTTACATGGAAAACTTCCCCCTTTGCTCCTCTTGTTGCTTCCACATCGTTTCCAGTAAACGAAGGGCCGATTATATCAATTCGATATTCTTTAGATGCAAAAGTTTTGGCTATTCAACGATCAAACCATGAGATTCAGTTTTGGAATAGGGAAACTGGGACCACTTTTAGTCAGATGTGCAAGTCAGAGTCAGAGAGTATACTGGGATTTTTTTGGACTGATTGTCCTACCTGTGATGTGGTATTTGTAAAGACCAGGTATGTGGTTGAAGAAATTTCCTTTCTACTTTACTTTGGATGTGATTTTTTGAATCTATATTACATTGTCAATGTGATTAGAATTGTTACATCCAGTAGATATGGTTTCTTTACATGTGGTTCTTTCTACTGCTCAATGGTTTAACCATGTGTCTAAGTGGTTTCCTTGTCATGTTCCTAGTGTTGCTTTTTTGCTTCTTGGTGTTTGCAATTAGCACGGTTCTATTATCTGGAAGGACCCTCCATTTTGTAGAGGCTGATTTGCCTCCCATAGTTCTGATTCTGTATAGTGAAATTACAGAGTGTGGGTATCTAGTTGCCATGTGTTTGGCCTCATCAGTGCTACACTATCAACTACATTGACAAATGGATCTCTAAAGTGGTGAGCCATCATGGGGCCAAGTCATCTCCATAGCATGAATAATGGGGTCTAAGCCTAACCTAAGCGAGGGCATATAAACCACTAATGATGGTTAGCCTGGTGCACTTGGTGTCCTGGTCTTGATCCATGGGGCCAAGGAACGAGTCTACATCACCTTTCAGTTGTATATCTGCTTTGAAAGATAATAAGACATCTTAAGGTATCTTCCAGGCATGCCCAAAGAATTACTAGGATGGACCAATTATTCTCCGCTTGACCACACCCACCTTGCTTGGTAGTCAGTACCCCTCAACTCAACTAAGTAATTCTCCACCAAGGCATGTTCCGCTCTATGCCTCATTCTCCAATGGTTATCTCCAGGAAGTAGCATGGCCAGATATGACCTAGCTTGGCTCCCCACGTCAGCTCGGTCAACTGGAATTCTTCATTCCCAAACCTTAGGCATCTCTAGAGTTCTTTGGACTTGCACTTTGATGTTGTATTGTTAGCCTAGGTTTGGAGGACCCTCCTACAATTGGTGTTGCAACATGAGGGCACCTTGAATGTACACATGATGTACTCACGGGATCACCAGGGACTTGTGGATTGGTGGCTAAAGTTGAGGGTATCATCAACGTTGCTTGGCTCACTCCTTTGAGGTTTCTTTTCTTTGACCAGTCTTTGACAAGAGAAAGGCCTCCACATGGGGTCAAGTGAGTTGAGATTGTCACATCCCAATTTTTCAAAGATTAATTATTCGGAAATTAATTAACCTAAGCGTGATGTTTTCAAGAGAAAACTGATTTTCTTACTTGGTTCATTCTCAAAATCATTTTTTCTTAAGTTAATTTTTAATTAATTCTCTAACTTTTGGTTTACCTCATAAAATGTGTCCAAATGCCTATGATTGAATAACATTAGAAAATGTGTCCGTTTTTTCTTTATTAATCTTTCTTCGAATTTGTCATAGAAAGTGTTTTTGGGATTTAATTGACTTGTGGGAAACGTGCCCAATTCATTAAGAAATAATGGTAAAATATTTTTGAAAAGCATGTGAAACACTCAATTTCATGAATCAATCACACTGGCATGCATTCCCATGAAATGAAATATAACATAATATAATAGAGGAAATGTTTAAGTTACAAATCCAAGATTAATTAATATAAATAATTTGACAAAAAGGTATAAAGGCACCTAATTAACCTTGGGTCTAAATTTAACAAAATAAACTGTCCTGTCGCTCTAACAGGCGGGGACGTTCATTAGTACCTGCACAATGCAGGGTGGTGAGTAATGACACTCACCCAGTGTTATTAAAGGTGATAGGCGCACTGAAGCACCAAGGTTCCTAGGGCCTAGGCAAGGTGTGGGTTTCATCGAAGTGAGTCTTATGTTGACGATAAAAAATAGATAATTTAATATAAGCAAATAATTCAAGGCTTAACATAAATAAAATGTAATATTACATATTTTAAAATATAAATACCAACAAATACCAATATATTATCATTGACAAATAATTCACGGTTTCACAAAAACACAATCATCTAACTCATAAATCATAAACATTTGAAAATAGCGATAAATCCGAAGTGTCTTACAAGATAAGTATAGAGAAGAAGGAGATGGATATTGAGGAGATGAAGAGAAAGAATAATGACAACTATTATTATGGATGAAGGGAAAGCTCTATCCAACCAATGTCTTTGTATAATTAGGCCTCAAAAGTGTTGGGTCGCAATGTATGTTTAACGGTTTAATCCCTTGTCACAACATGTAAACAAAAAAATAATGAGATTAAGTGAAATTTAGGCCTCAAAAGTGTTGGGTCGCAATGTATGTTTAACGGTTTAATCCCTTGTCGCAACATGTAAACAAAAAAATAATGAGATTAAGTGAAATCAAGGGTTGTAATTGTAATAAACAAATATTTTAAAAGAAGTGCACAAGTTGTGCTTCTTGAGCCCAAGTCCAAAGCGCACGCTTCATGTGTCTTTATGGGGCTTGTTTGGCCTGGCCTGAGATGTTCCGAAGTGTTTGATTGTGCCTTGATGAGCCTTGGGCCTAGGCGCACTCCTAGGTGCACCTTTACTAACACTACACTCACCCGACAATATTCTCTTATCTTCATTATTAAACATTCGGGTGTAGTGATAGAATATATATGCAATGCACATGCCTGGCTCCCATATTCTTTTACTTAGTCTCATTAAGTTCATTTTATTTAATTAACTCACATTGTATAATTAAATAAAAGAAATAAGCTGAAATCAATAACTGCCAGCAGGGTGTCATAACTTGCCAATAGGGCAATAAACCTGGCCTTGCCAACACATGCGTGTCCAAGCCGTAAATAAGTACACACTAGGTCTTACCCTAACCATGCGTTGATGAGCCTTGGGCCTAGGCGCACACCTAGGCACGCCTTTAATAACACTGCACTCACCCGGTAGTAATCTCATGTCTGCATTATTAAACATGTTGGTGTCGTGATAGTATTTATAATGCAATGCACATGCTTGGCTCCTAGATTCTTTTACTTAATCTCATTAAGTTCATTTTATTTAATTGACTCACATTGTATAATTAAATAAAAGAAATAATCTGAAATCAATAATTGCCAATAAGGCATCAATAACTTGCCAACAAAGCATTAAACTCGGCCTCGCCAACACACAGTGTTCAAGCTGTAAATAAGTACATATTAGGTCCTACCCTGTTCACGCTCCAGGGTCCCTTCGAGCCGCGTGTCAAAAAATCCACAACACCCTCTTCACAAAGGCTATTATTCCTCTCAACTACGCAGTGTCCAAGGGTCTAATCTGCCGATAGTTGGATTCAATATCTCCCTCAAGCATACTGGACCACAATCTAGGCCAAGCTCGTAAAATCAATAATACCAGGGCATGCCTGAAAAAAAAAAGTATAGTTACCTACACCGATTATTTAATACTTAGTTAGATTCCCATCTTTTCCATACTTAGAATTTTTTTTTCCAACATTTGCCATTTTCTCAACAAGTGCTTTTTTTAGCAATTTTTTCAAATTACACTTATGGCTATAATGATAGTAATATATTCCAAGTGTAAAAGGATCAGCTTGTCCAGAATGACCCAAATTTTCAATTTACACTAATAAATGCCCCAAATTCATTCAAATTTTCAAGTGAGTCATTAAAAAAACTTGTCATAAAATAATCATTAAAACATATAGGCCCTGTTTGGTAGAGCTGCGGGAAAGTACTTATAGCTTATGCCTTAACAGCTTATAGCTCATAACTATGAACATAAGCTGATTTCTGACTTATAAATTAAGCATCTTCTGCCACACTCAAATAATAAGCTGATTTCTGACTTACAAAAAGCTATAAGCTGCATTGTTAAGCTAAACCAAACACATCAAAATAGCTTAAATTAAGCTGAAAGCTGAAATAAGCAGCTTTTAAGCTGCACCAAACAGGCACATAGTTTCGTAATACTAGTTTAAAAATTATAGCAAAAATACTAAAACTAACTCAAATCAACCCGTCTTTTAAACTAAGTTAACTCAACCCATGCTTAATCTAACTAATTTTTACCAGTTTCTCACACTTTAAATAATTACCAAAAATTCAAAGTTGTCCCAATCACATGTTCTTTATAACATTAGTCTTCTAATATGCTATAGGTTACACTTTTTGAGGTTTTACACGAAAGCCCTAAAATTAATTAAATAATTACTTTCTAGATTTCAAACAAGGTACAACAACATTTTACCCAAAACTTACGAAATCATGCAACAGTAACACTTTCAAGGGTTTCATAGTGATATCTTAACTGTAGCTGAATAATGGGTTAATAAGCATCTAGGAAGCATGGATACAGATACAAGATATGGATATGGATACGGCGATATGACAATCTAAAAAAATTGGATACGGGTACATCTAGGATACGTTTGTAAAAAAATTGTTAGCAATGAGTTCTACATAGATTGTTGAGAGACCACATTGTAATTTTATAATGCAAAACACTACCTTTAAGAAATAAGTATTAATTTAAGGCAGTAGCTTCTTTACTTTTTAAATTGTCAATAGGTGTTCAAAATATTTCATTTCAATATCAAATCTAATATGTTTGTATTACAATAATAGAACAATCCACAACTTGTCGTTGTGCTTTTCCTTTTGGCACTAGTAAAAATATTGTATTACTATTGTTATATTCTTTTGTTAATCCTTACTTTTTATGTAGTTACAGGGGACATGCACGAAAAAATAAGGATACATCAATTGAATAAATTTTAATAATAGAACAGTATGATTAGTTGATAATATTAGTATTAGTTAATAATTTTTTGAAATATTCCTGCGAAAAGTTTCATTATTACGTTAATTATATGTTCTTATCAAAGAACTAAATAAAGTATTAGGAATTTAGGAGTAATACGTGACTTGGAGTAACCGATACTTCAAAATTAAGTATCAGATACGTATCCATGAGCATTGGTATGCTATACGGATACGTTTCCCTTTTTGAAGTGTCCGTGCTTTATAGATAAGCATGGATGGAAATTTAACTTACCACACTCAAAATTATGGATTAATGGGGCATGAATCTCATGGATTGAAATCGATGCAAAACAAATCATGAATATA